TTAGTATTATAGTTAAAAAGTTACAGCTGTTTGTGTGTGTGTGCAATTTCTATCGAATACACCATTTAAATATTTTGTATTTAAAAAAGGAGTGTTTTCAGAATAAACGCATAGTCATTTTGAGGGAAATTTCAAGGAATTAAAGGGGAAAATTTCCAGACATGTTCAAAAGAGAGAGAGAGAAAAGTCGGGAATCCGATTGTTCCATTATTTCCATGAATTCCATCGGGGCCATTTGCCTATGCCATTTGAAGCATAGTTAGGTAAAGAAGAATTGCATTATGCTTTCGCCAACGAGGGGCGTTAGGTGATGTGATGTGATGTGAATGGAACCCACCATCAGTGCAAGGATTACCAATGTCTGCAGACGCCAACGAGATGCGTTAGGTAGTGATAAGCAGTTAAGAATTTCTCTGGAGAGAATTCCAAACAAATATAATTTAGGAGCTTAGCACCGTTTTTATTGACTGATAAATGAAGACTAAACTAAAAATGCAGCTAAAGCTAAAACGTTAGTTATAAGTTTAAGAGAATGGCTGGAAAACGTTTATATTTAGGCTGAACTTTATGCTGATGCTTTAGTCCGATGACTCACCATCCTGTTGATCGAGCTGTGATCTGATAACTAAACATCCTGTTAATTCAAGCTGTGGTCCGCTGACTAATAAGATGAGATCTGCGCCTTTTGCTGATGATACCTGAGGCTAACTAAACGTCGCTAGAATTATTCCACAGCCGCAGACAGTATATGAGCAAGTCAAACACGCATTCTTTTGCCTGTGGATTTGAGGATAATCCTCAAGGCCCCTCATTCATTAATGTATGAGCTAGGTAAAGGAGTGTGCGTTTGACTAGTACTATAGAGGTAACTCTAAGACCAGAAGGTCTCGAAGAAACGTGCTCAACTTTTTGGCTCATCTCTGGTACTATCTTCGGTCCCAAGCTAATCGATGCACCCCTCGAAACATAGGAAAATCCCCAAACTTCTCATTTTATCTGTCAAACTTTCATAGCTTATCTAAACAAATATAGTGTAGTACTAGAATTTTGACTAGAATGGGGTACGTTAATCGTTAATTCCCAAATTCTGTCATTTAGCAGCATTTTGTTGAATAGACTCAGTAAATCGATATTTTTCTTACTACGAGCACGCAGCTTCTCAAGAAGATTGTTGATGCAAATACACAAATAATATAGAATCAACAACAAGATCACCAGGCTCTTTGCCATGTATATTTTATTAGATATAACCAGTGTATTTACACACATAATTTTAGTTATTTCCTCCTCCTCCGATGTAGACGGTGGTGCGTACGCTCTTGCGACTGTGACGCTAACAGTTTGACAGTTCATTACTGGGTGTCAAGCAAACCGTTTATGTTAGCTGTATTTTTCGGTAAAAATATCGTTTGCTGTTTTTCAGTAAAGCATTGCTTTGCTAATCATGATCCAGCAATCCGTTTTACTGAAATCTAAATCTTAAATTTGGTGAGTAAAATTGATTTATAATAGACGCAAAATTCAGCTCAATCAAACGTACTTTTGAACTTTTCAGTCTCGGAGCACTTAATTTTACATGACATGTTTGTTTACGTCTCATCGACCAAATGAGGCATCGACTTGTGGAAATATCGACTTATGGAGAATACCATACATGGAAAAATTAAGGGACCATGGAACACATCGAATTATAGAAAATATCGAATTGTGGACAGTTAACTGTAATTACAAGGGCATTGTGAGAAGAATATAGATAAAAATTCAAGACTTTTTTTTCAAGACTTTTTTAGGTGTATTGCCTAATAGTTCTATGGAAAATTCAAGTGTTTTAAGTAAAGGCTGACTAAAAGTAAATTGGTACGCACAAAAAGGTTTGTAAATTGTGATTCAATAAGTTTAAAAAGTCCATCAATGGTTGCTTTACAGTACTTTTATTAAAACTTCAAAGTTAAAGCATTTGATGGATACATTTCTCCAGTTCGAAGGAAATCTCGAACCATCCTCTTGATGGAGTGCATCAGCGTCCGCACAGTGGAAACGGACACGGAATCAGTGCATTTTTTTCTCCATTTTACCCGCATTTGCTGGCTGTCCTTGGCAGCCCTGCCTCTTCGTCGAAGTCGCTGAGTTGAAATTACCCAGTATTTTTTCGATTGGTAGAAATTCCGGGCAATTCGGAGGATTCATTTTCTTGGGGACAAAATCGATCTTGTTGGCAGCATACCACTCCAGAACCACCTTGGGGTAGTGGCAGCTGGCCAAATCGGGCCAAAAGATGACTTTGTCCCATGGGGTGCGACACATCTAAATCTCAATTTAAGATCGTCCTCAAATCTCACGATAGCGAATCAATCTACGAAAAATCTTTTTTCATCTCTTGCATCTAAATCCATCTACTTGCATCGCTCTCCACCATTTTGCAGGAAATCTTCAAAATCTTCATCAATATTCCAGCTATCTAATAAGTGTACGCGCAACTCACAACAGTAAAGCAACCATTTTCCTGCATCTTAGATAGAGTCGCTCCCCTCGCTTTGTCCCTATGTTTGCGGATGAAGGGCAATACACGCTTTTTCACGCATTCTTCGATGTAAACTTGGGTTGTCGAGGATGTGACGAATGGTTCCGTTTTCAGGCCACAACTGCAAATCGCTTGCCAAATCATGGCCTTCTTCGCAAACTTGTCGGCAAACACGAACTAAAATCTTCCCGGCACATCCCCACGTCCAGCCACGATGTAAAATTGTTGACCGGGAATCTGCTTAAAATCGAGTTTGACGTATGTTTCGTCATCGATCAAAGTGCAACCCTTGTGTTTCGTCAAAACACGGTCGTACAAGATCATTGCACGTTTTGGCCACGGAATTCTGCTTCATTTGCCGATTCGGATGTTTACTGGCTTTGTACGACTTGTATCCTTCCCTGGCAAGGATGTTCCGCACCCCGTTTGAAAGTTGGCGTTGTACCTTCTGGCTATATCTCGGATCGAAAGACCGGAGTTGGCTTCAACGCACCTCAACACCTTGCTGCGCAGCTGACGATCCCTGTTTCCAGTTTTTTCGTAGGTCAGCTGATTCCTTTCCACTCTCAGGGTTTTCTTGTAAATTTTGAGCACTGGACAAACTGTTGTTTTTGGCATCTTCAGCACTTTAGTCAGCTTGAAACCGGACCACTCCGGATTTTCCAGGTGCTTGTGCACAATATTTTTTTTATCTTTCGAGTTCGATTTGACGTTATTTCTGAATGCGATCGACTACTTTGATCAAACATGCACCAGTTGTTGCCTATAAAAGTGTAAACAAACCACTGTCAAAGATTTTTGATTCTCTACACTAGAGGCGTGTTAGCGGCGCACGAGGGGCGTACCTATTTACTTTTAGTCAGTCTTTAAGGAAGCATCACTAAATTATTGGAAGAATAATTTAAAAATGGCAGTTAAGCATAGGATGATATCCATGATTTTTGTTAGGAGTGTTCTGCATAGAATTTTTAGTCTGTAATAATGTGAATTTCAGCGGAATCCCAAATTTATTATAGAGGAATTTTGAAAAATAACTCTGTGAAGGGTAATGGTTTTAAAGAAAATTCATGAGATCAATCTAAAGATTCTGGAAAGAGTTGTATACGAATTTTCAAGGGAGTAAATTCTTTAGATTCTACTGGGATGCTTTCATCTGATTTGTTGACAGATTTTGTACTGTAACTATTTTTTATTAAAACAAACCTCTAAAATATGATTACAGCATTGGAAAGTGTGATAAATTTCCTACAATACTTTATTCAGAGTTTATGATTTGAGTTACTCAAAATGATTTGTTGAGCGACTATATCACGTGACGTTACAGCGTTTTGCTCTTCTGACTACACTATTTAACAACACGTTTCGAGCTAGTCAAATCAGAGAATTAAGCGTACTTTCCAAATCTGCAATAATATTTACGGGTTACTCATCATTTTTTTCAGTTACAGTACAAAAAACAGTCAAAAACAGACATATAAACCGTTGTAACGCCACATAGAATGTGTGTTTTAGACAACTTTTGCAGTCTTTGTAATAACTCCATTAACCTAGTTATTCTTTACGCTCAATCGCATCCGGATTTATGCTTAATTTAAATGTTTATGAGGAAAATACGGAACATAACAAAAAATTGCCAATCGGGATTTGCTGATCACCATGTAAATTTGAAGAATACTTATACAGCTTGACAGTAGTTTCAATTTCGGTAAAACGACTAATTTGAACACTGAACCTTAACCCTCAGCTCCACATTCACTGCGCCAGTGAGTCGATGTAATTATGCCGATCTATGGATATACTGACTTAACCTTAATTAATTCAGAAATATTGATTTTGGAAAAAATGAGATCCAGGGCGAGAAACGAATGATATTTCAACGGGATTTTACAGTCGTTCATACTTTAACCAGAGGGCTTCAGTTTGATCATGTGTGAGGCTTCGTTAAAATCAACTGCTGTGCCAACTTAAAAGCCAACAAACTGTGACGTGCTACGACATTTCTGGTAGTAAATTTACCAAAAACCCATGATTTGGCCCTTGGGAATAGACGGAAAGGTCATTGCTGTTCCTCTGTGTAATAATAGTACGCGATATAAGACCGGCTATTTCCTGCAGCTAAAACTGCTTGCTCTCAACACTCACACATCCATCCTGTGCAACAGTTTTCCAACCAGATTTATGCCTCCCAGCATCTCCACCATCGAGAGCACGTGGTTTTACGCCATCAATCTGTCCTACAACAACACGCGGTGGCTTCTCCTACCGGCTGGGAAAGGTGGTGGAGTGAAAATTCGTTGAAAGCAAAATTATGACACAGGCGCGTCGTCGTTGGCTAGTCGGCCTGAACGTCGTCCTTTCATACCACATGCCTAATATGTTTCCCGCTTCTGAAGGATCAACTTCGGAGCCAGCATCCGGCCGTTGCAGCCTATAAAAGGACACGCGGTGCACAGATCCGTTGCCAGTTTTCCAAGGAACGTTGCCTAGTGCAGATCTCTCCAGGACCAAGACCAAGGAAGAAGTTTAAGTGGTACTATAATAATATAGTGTATTGTTAGAATCAATTCTGAAATCATAGCTTTTGGGTGTACACTTTTGCTTACTGATTGTGTGAATTAGACAAGGCAGCTCGGTGACAGAAACAGTGAACTTCCGGAAGTCGGAAATAGAGTGTTTCCTCCCTCCCCGCTTTAGTTCGTCTTGGTTGCCGTGTGAGTGCGTCTCGACCAGAGTTGGATATGCTGCACCTCCATCCAAGTGGATAATTGCACTTCCGACGGCTAATCCTTTGAACTAATTATGGCACTGCTGCCGTGTAATCAAGTGTAGATCCTGGACTTCCGAAGGTCTTTCTCGTAGCGTAAAATAAGTCGAACAAAATGCGTTCTTAGTGATTAGTTAAAATCAGTCATGTTCCTTTCGGTCACTTAGTCAAAAGTTTCCTTTTCCGATTCGATAAATTGCGGTTCGTAAGCAACAGGTGGTCTTGCGACGGCGGCGGCGACGGCTTGGTGTCAACGATAAGACCATCTTCGAAGCTACTCGGCGTACCAACTCCGTCAAACCGTAGCCAATTTTCATTCAAGAAGGACCCGGTCAGCGCCATTTATGTTCGAGCTGGATGACCCACGGGAAAAGCTGAGACTACTGGAGACTCCAGTGAAGCTGGTCGATAATCCAGGTTAGTGGAAATTCCGTTCATTTTAATTAAACATTATGCACCAGCGAAGAAGGTTGCCAGAATCTTAACGGAGGACCTCTTCAGCGTTCTCCCCGAGGGAGAGATAATCGGTGAAACTATTTCAATTGGTTCGGTGTGGTTTTTGCTTGGATTATGGTATTATGTTTCTACTGCTGTTGTTAACTCTAGGAAATGCGAGAATGAACGGTGGTGGGTGGAGAAAGCATGGGAGCCTCGCGGTTTGCAGTGTTTATTAGCTGATATAATTTATCGAGTGGTCGAGGATTACGTGGTTGCCGCTGGGGTTCGAAATTGAAACTAATTTGTTGGGTTGGGCCGAGGAGTTTACTCGAAAGTTTGTTGGGGGTGAATTCTTGAATGCAGGATGATATTTATGGGAAAATTCCATTGCAGGCAATTAGACAAGTGACTTCATCTGATTTGGAACATTGTAGGCACTGGCCTACTCCACCTATTGTGGACAGGGAAGACCATTTTCACCTCATCAATGGCAAATACCTTTTGTCTACATGGCCGATGAGACTAACTGAGAGGTTAATTCTAGTCAGTTGTATGGAGAAATTTCTAAAAACGTATGCTACTCAACGCTGAGTAACCTACGTTTTTAGTTATTTCTTACTACAACTGAGCAGAAGTGACTTCTAAGTTAATTTCATCGGCCGTGTATTATTGTTGATTGACCACTTTGTTCAAGATGTATTTTCTCTGAAATTCCTGATCTATTTATCTTGAGTTACAAAATCATAAATGATAAATCATAAATCATAAATCATATTAGGTTGAATTAAAAACACGAAACATTGCTCTTGGACTTGGGTTCTAGAAATTTCCAACTTGAATAAATATTTTTCTTATTTTTGTCTTTTCAAACCACATCTAGACTAGCTCATCGTCATTTGAATTAATAGAGATCTGGGACAATTTTTGAGATTTTGCATTAAATCATTAACCTGAGGGAAACTTCTAAAGATATTTTTTTTTGTTATTATACATCCCCTTGGATTTTTCAAACTATTCACAGAATTTTTAAGGATTTCTAAGTGGAAATCCATATTTGTTTTTACAACTTCAAAGGTAATTTTGTGGAGGACTTCAAACGAAATCTTAGAGTTTCTTCCAAGGTAATTCGGTTTTGTTTTCGGTCACCAAGGTTTCGACGTCCATTTTCATCACCTTTATTCCTTCCTTTGTTTCCTGGTTGCGGCTGTCCGACGATGAACGAACTGGTGCCTTTATCGTTCTGTTTTTCTCATCCTGCTTTTTGTCCACATCCGGTTGCTTTCCAAGCTGCTGCTGTTGTTTATGGGCCTTCCATTTGGGGCAGGAATTCATTCGGTGCCCCTCCGCCTTCCATATGAATAGAAAATATTCCCCGAAAAATTAAGCGAGGAGGGAATCTCCTTTTCCACGTCCATGTAAACACCTCGCACTCCTGTGAATATATCGAGGACCAATACTCCCGGAATTATTTGTCCCCGTTCCCCAGTTTTAATGGATATATTTTAAGACTTTTTCTGGAAGTTTCTTCTGAGTTCCACTGGAAGATTCCTGTAACTACTCCTTGGAGTTTTATCTCCAAAGTTCTCTGAACTTCTTGAAAACAAGAATCTTCTTAAAATTCCCCGCTATTATTTCTGAAATTAATAAATCTGCAATTCGCTTCTATAACGTTCACTTAGTTCTTGAAACAGCGATGAAGTTTACGGAACTTCTTGACAAATTTTTTGGATGTTTTTGATGTTCTAAGACTTTCTCTGAAGTTATCTGGTCTCCGCAGTTTTCCAGAATTTTCTTAACATTATTTTTTTAATTTTTTTTTGTCGATCTTGTTTTTCGTACTGAGTACCAATGATACCGACGCCAGGGAGGCAGCTCCCACACCTGGACCCTACATATCGACCCATCAACTCATGGACTGGAGACCACCGCTTTTAGTTCTATTCCGAAGGAAGGCACGATAAGAGATGTTATGCCTCAGAAAATCCCATGGGCGTCGACTTGGATTGAAACCAGGCCCTTTGGAGTGAGAGGTAGTCACGCTTACCACTACACCATCGACAAACCGACACGAATGACCATAGCAAAAACAATGACAATTTACAAAAACAAAAACAATAACAATTTGTGACCAAAGCACACTACTGACATCTGGCTCCGTGTTCGTGGGAAATAATTAGCTAAGTCATGAACTCGCATGCAAAAGCTATGAATTGATTCGTGTCTAATCTATTCTGGACAAATTATTTTTATCTAGATAAAAAATCCAATGGTTTTGACAGTTCAGATCACTGCACATTTAAATCAGCCGTTTACGATTTTCGGGCATAAGTCAGAATTAAGTGTCATGTCGGTTTGTCTGTGCCTACACCACCGGCGCTGTTAAATTTATTAACTTCCCTTAAGTTCTTTGAAACTACCTGACATTTTTGTAACTTCTTTAAGTCCCCGCAATTTAACTGAAATGAAAACGAAATAATAGATGTCGTTTTAAGATTTTCACTCAAGTCCTCAAAATTTTCCTGAAGCTCATGAAAACGCCCAAAAATTATGAAAACAAATTCATCATAATTTTAGGAATTATCCCAAATAGTGACTTTCTTGTTATAATGAATTTTCCTTATGTTATTGGGACTACCAAAGTTAATGTAATTGCCTTGAAGTTCCCGTAATTTTCCATAAATTTTAAAAAATTCTCGAAAGCTCACGGATCTCACCCAAAAAGCCGGGGTTCAATCCCCGTCGGCACCGCCGGCATTTTCTGAGACATAAAATCTCTGCTCACGCCTAGTCAAGCCGTTGGTCCCCAGTCCATGAGTTGATGGGTGGATAGGTAGGGTCCAGGTGTGGGAGCTGCGTCTGAAGTTTCCTAAACAGATTGTCTCATAATTCTCCATGATATTTCCTTCAATTTTCCTTAAAATAATGGAACTGCTCTGACGATATCTGATCGTCCTTGAAGTACTTCCCTGAATATAATAAAACTTTCTGAACATTTCCAAACTTTTCAGAACTTTACTGATCTGCGTTGAGGCTCCTGCTATTTTTGAAGATCTTGAATCTTGAAGATCTTTTTGAAGATCTGTCTTCCCTTAAAATCTGCTCAAAATTTTATGATGGTCATGTTTCTTTCCAAAATTTGAATGAAACTCTCGGGACTCTTCTGAGTTTCTCTGAACTTCTTTGAAGTTCCTGCAATTTCCTCGAAATTTATTGAGCTGCTCTTATAGGATCTAAGAGCCCAAGTAACCAAAAGTTCCGCATTCAACGATTAAAATCACTCTCAAGTTCCATAAAGTTCGAATACAGTCCCGACAGAACTTTCAAGTTCCATAAAGTTCAAATAAAGGTCCGACAGAACTATCAAGTTCCAAAAAGTTCAAATAGTGTTCTGACAGAACTTTCAAGTTCCATAAAGTTCAAATGAAGTTTTTATCAGTAACAAAATTTAATGTGCGTAAATATGAAATGATCAATGCCCCGAATAAATCATAATTCTTATATTTATGCAGTGCATCAACATTCTATCCAAACATACAAAAAATTAAAAAAGCAATTTCCTGGATTCAAACCCATGCATTCGGCATGCGATCTACGAACGCTAACCACTGCACCACAAATGTGTTGGAATACCATGCGGGCAAACACCAATTTAAAATTCATCAAGGTGTTGTGTTTCGTATTCAAGTCAGTCAGCTGGCACTGAAAACTCCAACAGTAGGCAGGACACCAGCTCACTTTATTATATCTCAGATGACGCAGCGGTTCGTGCTGGACTGCAGAAGGACTGGATTTAATCAAACAGCTCCAATTCTACTACTAATGCTGATTAATCAATACACATTAATACCTGCCTGCAGAAATAACTTTCATAAGAGTGCGAACTAAATATCGAATTGGTGTAGAGGACAAAAACCTTTTTTTAATTTATTTTCTAAAAGTTCCGTTCAAGTTCCGCCAGAAGCTGCTTAGAATGCTCTTCAATAATGATACCGGAACTTTCAAGTTCTTATAACGACTTAAAAATGAGGCTGCATAGAATTCTATAGACCACCTCCAACCAAGCTGCTTAAGCCACAAATAGCCTTTTATCAGAACTTTTGGTTGCTTGGGAGCATTCCTAAAGTACTGCCCTGACATAAATGGAACTCAGTATCAGCTCACACAGTTCCAATAGTAATGTCACTCGCCTCAATGTCTGTGCGCAAATGACATTGACATCGTAATGGGACCTATTTATATTAAAAGTTCTGCAGCATTTTTTTTTCTCATACAAGACAGTTAATCCCCCATCCCTCTCCAACTCCAATCTTTAGAAAAGTTATCGGTACTATTGAAACAATGCAACGGTTATACAAAATAGTTTGTTAATTGAGATAGAAGCAATATTTTCAACTTTTCCCAGGTGATATTCATATGGATTGCAATGTCATGCTTGCTACGAGTATCAGTGTATGAAGTGAAATTCAGTGCTGGAGCAATATCTAAAGTCAATTGACATTGTTGACAGCCCGTAGCACCATAGAGGTAACTCTAAGACTAGAAGGTCCCAAAATAACGTGCTCAACTTTTTGACTCAGCTCTGGTACTATCTTCGGTCCCAAGCTAATCGATTCACCCCTCGAAACATAGGAAAAACCAATAACCCCTCATTTTATCTGTCAAACTTTCATAGCGAATCAAAACAAACATTGTGTAGTACTAGAATTTCGACTAGAATGGGGTACGTTAATCGTTTGCTTGGGACCAATAGGCTAGTCAAGTAGTGAGCCAATTTTAAATCGTTAGTTTCGTATTGATTGTTGGTAGCACTGTCTCTGGACTTCTTTCCGGAATTTTCAATGAAGTTTTCTTAAGTTGTCTGGAGATCACTGGATGTGTGGATCTACTTTGAAATTCTCGGAACGTTTTTGGGTTCTCGAAATTTTCCTGAAGTTCATAGAACTGTTCTGAATTTATCGGAATATACTCTTGCGCTAAAC